GGGGCGTTTTGTCCTTTTCTTCCTTTTCTTTTTCTTCTTTTTTTAAGAAGAAAGGGATGGTGGTGACATTGTTAAAACAGCACTGAAGTGATACGTATCATAAACGTCATTTTATAAAAGTTTTAATAAAAACGCTCTGGCCGTTTCTCAATCTTGACAGTATTTTTTAAACATTAAAAAGAATAACATAAAACAATGTGTTTGTTTGATTTTCTTTGTTTGAGTAAACAGAAGCACATCGACACAATAAGGTCATTTAGTGCTGAGGAAAAAGTAAGACAGACAGGCAGCATCAACAGCGGGAAAGTAAAGATGGAGACCTGCCAGTGGCACCCTCCAACAATCTGAAAAACAATGTGTATTGCAAAAAAAGTGTGCACGAATCAAGCACGTTTGCTTTTTACAAGTGAGGTCACTGGCAAACTCGTAAACAGCCAAAGGTTGTAAATGCACTGTTTCAATGTCAGTAATTAAACCGAAAACAAACGGACATTATAGTTGTGAATAAGTGAAGAAATCTTTACCTTGTTTCTGAGAATTATATCCTACACCGTGGAATTCACTTGACGATGAACCGTTGAAACGATGATCATTTTGTTGATCTGAAATGACACACATAAACAATTATCATTGACCTGTTGAAATGTCCTCGAAAGTCTCTATCCCCCATTAATGGTTCTAAAAGCTGAACGTCCCCCGTCAACACAGGGTCAACCAACCAGAGCAGTATACAACGCACAAGAAGAAAACTGAAGACCATACCTAAAATAAAAAACCCACCCTAAAACAAAAACGAAAATAACGAAACAAACGAAAACATGGCTCATATTGAAAAATTCGAACTCATGTATTTTGCATGCAACGGCAAAGCGCCTATGATAAATACTCTACAGAGGTCGGTTATCGCCTTTTGAGACCATTTCCAATTAGAGAGAGTACTCCAAAGTGAAGCTAAATTGAGTCAGTGTCAAAAAGTAGTTGCAAAAATACCCCCCCTCCCCCACCCCCCTGTACACACACACAATTTTGTCAACATATCTAAATGTCAGGAGCATTGCAATTAGATTTTTTAAAAACAAAACCAAAAAAACCCAGTTGGCTTTTATAGACCACAGTTGCTTGAAATAAACTGACCAAAAAAAATGAAACAAAACATAACCACGAGAAACCAATAATAATAATAATAAAAACAAACAATAATAATAATAATAATAATAATAATAATAATAATAATAATAATAATAATAA